GAGCCTTGCCTGGTAAAAGCAACTTGCTTATGCGATTAGTTAAAGGACCAGGTGGAATTAGAGGTTTTGGATTATCTGAGTGGGCCTGGGTGCATGGTGAATGTGCATTATACGTGTGTGGTATGTATGCTATGTGTGTTTATGGTAGTTGTGTATTTAGGGGTGTGCATATGCTGACTATGTTGATTGGTGCTAATGGGCGATTTGTAGTGTTCATGTATTGTGCTGTGTTGCTATATTTTATTGATGTGTGTGTTGGTTGATATACAGTATAAATGATGTTTGTGTGATGGGGTGAGTGGGTAGTGCATATATACAGTGTAGCATGAGTTGTGGTGTAGGAAATGTACTATCTGGTGAGTGTGCAGCACATGTGTGGTATGTAAGTGGTATGGAGTGTGTTGCATGTGATGCACATGTGGTGTATGTGGTATGTGTGGAATGGTTTGTGTGAAGTATGGTATGTGGGTTTGTGTGTGGTATGTGTGTGGCATGGTGTGTGTATTATGTGGTGTGGTGTGAGTGTGGTATAGTACATGGTATATGTGTAGTGTGGTATGTGAGTAGTATATGTAGTACATGGGTATATGTAGTACGTGTGGTATGTGTGTGGTATGGAACAAATTTGGTATACATGTGGCATAGTGTGGTGCAGTATGGTGTGTATGGTATGGTATGTGGTACATGTGTGCATGTGGTATGTTTGCTACGTATGTGGTATGTGGTATGGTGTATAGTATGTAGTGTGGTGTGTGGTGAGGCATATGGATGTATATGGTGCATGTGTGGTATGTCTGTGGTATGTGGTATGTGTGGTTGTATTTGGATATATAATAAATATGGTATCTGTGGTATTGTGGTGTGTGGTGTGTGTGTGTGTGTGTGTGTGTGTGTGTGTGTGATGTGATGTATGTGGTGTATGTGAGATGTGTGAGGTGTATATACACCAATCCATGGTAGTTGGCTGCAGGGTAGAAGAATAAACGGGAACCTACCAATCAGACGTCAAGACTTCTGGAAAGCAATCACAGCACTGTGCAGCGTGGGGTAGTCTAGCAACTCTTCAAGCTACTGTCCCTCATGTGCCAGGCCAGGTATGCACAGGACCTGCCAGTGCTGGCCTGCATGGACTCAGGTACAGAGGCCTGAGAAAGGCAGGGCAGACCCTGCTGCCTTTCCTGGCACTCAGTGGGAGGTGCCGAAAGCTCTGGGCCATGGCCAACACTGTCCTTCCAGTGCTTAGGGGCAGCTTACCTGCCCTGATCATGTCATCTGTCGTGTTTTAACTGCTTATTGCACCCTGGGAGTCCCTCACCTGACCCAGATGCTCTGAGTGAGAGCAGTGGCAGACAGCTAGTTCTGAGTGCAGGCCCATTTGACCTCTGCTCCACCTTCTCTGAAATAGACAGGCTCCCGAGATAGCTCAGGTCACCAGTAGAGACAGCGTGGACACCAAGACACAAGCCAAGGAACTGAAGTCTCCCTCAGGTTCTAAAAACAGCTTACCAGGCCTTTAATTAGCCATCCACAAGCCACTTACAACAATCATTATGTGAACAGCTGTTTTAGGAAGGAAAAAACCCAGGTCAAGACTCCAAACCCACCTGCCCTGGAGCAGGGTGAGGCTGCAGTTGGGCAGAGAGGCACACAATGGTCTCTGGGCTCACCTGGAACCTTCTGCCTCCTCTGCAAGAGTTCAAGGCCACATGGGCCTGTTCAGATAGGAATGTCTGCTGACCCATTTGAAACCCAGTAACCTGCTCAGGGACTGCACAAGCCCTCCATGCCTTCCCCTAACCTGTCATACCTCAGTGGGATATGGATCAGAAACGCTCTCAGATGTGGTCAGATATTTATGGAAAGAATAATGACTTTGTGAAGAAGGCAGGGTTGACCATCTGCTCAATTCACCCCCCCTTTACATCTATGTTTTACACATGTGTAAGCACCCATGTGTCAGAGGACCATGTGCCCATGCATGTGGAGGCCCGAGGTAGTTGTTGGGAATCAATTTTAATTGCTCTTTCACCTTACTCTTTGAGGCAGAATCTCTCAATCAAACCCAGAGCTCACCAGTATGGCTGGCTAGTCTTCCTAGCCAGCTTGCTCTAAGGATCACCTGTCTCCACCTTCGGAGACCAGGATTAAAGGTGGCCACCACACCCTCCTAGCATTTAGAATTAAAGGCGACCATGCCCTCCTAGCATTTACATGGGTTCCGGGTATCCGAACTACAGTCCTCAGGCTTGTATGGAAAGCACTTTAACCGTTGGGTCATCTCCCCAGCCCCTGCTCAATCCCTTCCTGAGGGGCTGGGAAAGGAACTCACCCTTCCCCACCCCCATACTTCTGCATACTTCTGGCCACCCTACAATCCTCAGCTATGGTTCCCTGACCCCTAGTGTTCCCTTAGGTCTGGCTGTGAGAGGGCTTTGGGGAAGCCTACCTTTCTGTCTTGCTCCCAGCTCTTCCATCACCTTTGTAACAAACTCCCTGCATCAAATTCCCTGTGCTGAAATACCTGGAGTGGTTTCTGTAGATTTAACAGTAAAGTCTGTCTTCTCCTAAGACCCCAATCATTCATTCTCTCTCAAGCCAGGGACTCTGTATGAGAGAAGCCCTAGCAAACAGTAACAGGTACCTGAGGACATCTTCAAAATGTAATGACTTTGGCCAGCAGCTGTCTCCATCTGCCAGTAAAGCAGCCCTAAGTCCTTTGCCATATTGGATGGACCCAACTCTGGGCCTCCCCAGCTTTCTTAAGAGTGCCCATGAAAGGCCTCCACTGTTGCACAGGACACAGTCCCCATGGAGACAGGGGCTTTTCCATCTACTCCCTGAGGTTAATACTCAGAGGATGGAGATGGCTCACCAGTTAAAAGCACTTGCTGCTCCTGTGGAAGACTCAAGTTCAGTTCCCAGCACCCATATTAGGTGGCCCACAACCTCCTCTGACTCCAGGTCTGGGTACCCTTTTCTGGCCCCCTTAGGCACTGTCATGAATGTACACACACACACACACACACACACACACACACACACACACACACACACAATCTTAAATACCTGACTGAAGATCAAGGAATTATTCAATCAAGTACCGACTTGGTCCACAGCACTGAGCAAAAGAACTGGGACTGTCGGGCATGGTGGCACACCTGGAGGCTCAGAAACCACAGGGGCTGAAGCAGGAGGCTCACTGGAGCCCAGGAGTCCAGAGACAGCTTGGGCAGCCACACAGTGAAACCCCAGCTCAAAGAAGCAGGCAGTCTCAAAGTGGAGTGTCTCCATGTTGCTCACGTTCGCAGCAACTTCTGTTCATCCTCTGCATCCTGTAGAGGGACCACCAGCTGCCAAAGGTATTTTGCATTCACAGCAGACTCAGGCCACCCACTGGCTCCTCGAACTAATTTAACAAAAATGGTGCTTTCAAGTTCTTCATACCTTTGTTTTATCTTTTGTTTGTTTTCATTTTTTGAAACAGTCTCCCTGCAGCCCCAGCTGGCCTGGAACTTGCTATGGAGACCAGTCTGACTTCCATCTCATGGAGATGGGCCTGCCTCGGTTTCCCAAGTGCTGTGATTACAGACGTACCACCATGCCCAGTCAAGTTCTTCAGAGCTTTGATAATTAAAAACAATCTTAAGATAAACTGGATTTGCTTTTCCTCCAAACGAACTCCCTTCTTCCCCTCTGTGCAGAGGCCCAAGCTACCTGGCATAGACCAGAGGCACTGGGTGCTCCCAAGCTGGTGTGGTTTTGATAAGCTACCATCTGTCAAGAGTACACATCCAACTGCCGCTCTCCACCGCATAGGGTGAAACCCTCTGCCTTATTGATTTTCTTCCTGATGTATGTATATATGTATGTATTTTTGGCATTACTGGAGTTTTGTGCATGCTAGTCAAGTGTTGTACCACTGAGCTCTCCCTATTTTATTTACTTTTTAAAATTCTAAGACAGGGTCCTGCTAAGTTGTTCAGGCTGGCCTTGAAATCCCTCTGTAGCCCAGGACGGCAATCTGCAGCCTCTGGGCCAAATCTGGCTCTCTGCTGCTGCTGTAGGTTCAGTTTCCTAGTACATAGCCATGCCTATATTATACTTGTGGTTGCTTCTACAGCATGATTGTAGACAAGCCTGAAAGATCTAACACCTGGTCCTCTACAGCAAAAAGCTGGGTGACCTCTGCTGTAGCAGAGCTTCATGCTGTAACAACAGCTTCATGCCGTAGACAGTTTACCTCAGGATCGGTGGGCCTGGAAGCACAGACAGCTGGACCTCAGGCACAGCCAGGGAAGTGGTGGGCAGTACGGGCAGAGCAAAGAGACATTAACAGACACATAGCCCCCCCCCCCCCCCCCCCCCCCC